AGCAGCGATCTAGGTACAAAAACCATTTGTGCCGAGGGCGCCGGATTCGGCCGCCCCCTCGATCGGGTTTAGCGTCCCGCCCATTTGGAGTTGGTCTATCCCAATTCGGTTTGGTGTCGACGCTTTTCCCAAAATGGAAAGGTCCCCACCTGCTCCTGTTCTGGCTTAGCGGTCTCCAATCTGGTTCCCTATATATGAATGGAAAGTATCTATCAAGATCGAGATCTAAAGTTATCACGAACTTTCTTCGTGATCATCAAAAGGAAAATGGGAACGGACCGCAATTTTCTCCATCTCAGTGCTTGAATGTTCCATCCAACCGTCTTTGATGCTCTGGATGATAGCCCTGCACCGTTCAAGCTCATCCTCATCTGAAACCCAGCCTAGGGCATCTGTCCCGATTAGATCCCTCATCTCGCCTAGTTCCTGTAGTTTCTCTTGTTCTTGGCGATGATCCTCCGAACATTTCTGCATCTCTTCCCCAGAAAATTGAATTGGGCACTCAACAGATCTCGTTTGCGCTCCTCCATCCAGCGACATAGGCCAATTCTTGAGGACCTGTAACATGGCATACTTCAATGAGACAGAGTCCCCTTCCCAGGGAGCCTGTACATGATGAAAAAGCTTCGCTCGAAGCATACAGTTTTCGGTTCTGATGGCGTCAAAATGATCCGGCAGGGATTTCATGGTTAACGCAGCATAATAGAAATGGACAATCCGTCTCCGCATCATCTCTTGAACAGTTCCTTGTTCTTCATTGCTGAGTTTATCAAAATTGTCTGGTAATTTGACCTCTGGCTTAGATAATGTCTCGGACAATGGATCGCCCCAATTTTGAAAATGATCGGGGATTCCAGCGCACAGACAGAGGGGTAGAATGACTGCATGCTGCCAGTCAATGATCCCTACCACGTCGTTGGACGTATTCACCAATATATTGTTAGGTGAAAAGTCCGGATGGCGAAGAGTCGGGCGAGACATACGGTGGCCGGATGGGACATCAAGGTAGGGGGCTAACTTTAAATAATTGGTAAGAAGATGTTGGTACGGAATAGGTGAGAGGTTTTGGAACTGGTGTATTTCTCGTAGGTATCTTTCGACGTGTAGGCGTGGTTTGCCAAATCTTTCACAGAATTCGTTCTCGCGCTTGGCGGGTGCTTCGAAGCATGCAGAAAAGGTATTCCCTAGCTCAGAGTCAATATCCCCAAAGAAAACAGGCACTCCTAGATGAAGACTTACATGGGCCGCGGTCAACCTTCAGAGAGGCCCGTTCTCGATACCACCATTCATGCTGTGCAGTTGGGCCAACGACGATATCGTCCGAGAGTGGGATAAAGTGTTGTGAGCCGTCGAGATCATGGCGGTGATAAAGACTTCCGCTTGCTGGGAAGTTAATGCTCATGAATCGTCTCTCCAAATCAACAATCTGTCTCATTACTTTGACCCGAGTTTTGGTATCCATGGAAAACCACTGGTCACTCAAGGGTGTTCCTTCAAGCCTTTCAAGTAGAATATATTCAGTTCCAACGGCGTTTGTCTGATCTGGAGAATACGCAAGGACTTTTGGGACTGGGACCCCATGAGCACGCAGAAGGGCGAGTGTAGCAGCCTCACTGGCCACTGCATAATGTTTCGGGACAGTCGTCTTGTACGGTAGCCTTGCAAGAACTGCATATCCGTCATTGAAGGTGACTTGCAAGACACGATTGAAGCCCCCCTCCGCGAGTTTTGTGATCGAGGCCACGTCATTGACATGTCGACCGACAGAGTGGCAGGCCGCCCTTGCAAGAGCATCCACGTCGAATTGAATACGGCGTTCAGCACGACGGAGCTCTTCGTTAAACCCATTTGACGCAGCAAGTCAGTTTATCGCAATTGACGCGTTCAACTAACCGCCGTCACGACTTACAAAAAGCGCCCAGAAGTGTACTCGAACAGATCAGGCTTACCACCCATAGAGGACATCCTCCTGGCTAATGGCTTCGAGTATGGACTAAAAAATCTCGAAAAGCGTCGCATCTTCAAGCAGATGGTTGTCAGTCCAAGATTGCTCCCAAGCTGCTATTATTATTTGCACTAGGGTACTTCCAAGGTTAGGGTACTTCCAAGGTTACCTAGCCGAATTCTGGCTACCAGACGTATTACTCAGCAAAAACGTGACCCTGTCGGTAAATGTTGGCGATTCTTCCCATTCGGCCAATCGCAAAGCGACAGACACAGTATTTGAACTTGGGTACTTCGGTCTAGAGTCCACTTCTTAGGCCCGCTTCAAATATTGCCTCGCAGAAACGGGAAATTCAATCCAATTTAATAGCTGGTAATGTCCAACTTCGTATTTATATATAGTAGGTTGTCTAAAGTGACGGTCAGACCCTGAAGTGGGGCCCGAAGAACCCAAGGTCATGTACTCATGGAACACCACTGTAAGTGCTCTGGGTAGATCCTGAGGTAAATGGCCTCGGATGCTGACTGAGTACAAATTAGATACAAAAGTGGCCTCATCACCGGGATGCGCGAACTCGACATGTCTTAGGCCTCTGAGAAGGGAGAATCTATCTAGTCGATCTCACTATCGACAGCGTCAAGAGCCGCCTGGACATCTTCCTTAGTGCCACCGTCAGGGATTTTGACAGTTGCAACGATTCCGTGTGTCCCTTTTCGTGTTTTTGTCTCCACTGCTTCCAGGAAGTTGGGATCTTGTTACCCGAATTTACCTGAACCTGGAATCTGTGGAATTTGTTCCCACCTTCCTCAATAGTGCCTGCGAAGTCGAAACGCACGCCTAGACTCTCGAGATCTGCCGCAGTCTTCGGGAAAGCGGTTTTGTGGAGGGCAACACTTGGTCGCACTAGCTTTTTGTAACCATTTGCATGTGTAAGGACGGCGTCCTTGATTTTGCTCCACTTGTTCGGCATGTGGTTGATGGTGCTGGTTGCTGTCAACAGGTGTTTTCTTACAGAATAGGAAAGAGAATTTACCTTGCGACTGAAGCTTTGTGTTGTTATTCACGATAGTAAATTGTTGCAACAGCTCTGTTGAATAGAATTGACGAAATGTTGGCTAGTTCAAGTGGCCACTGAGAAAAGCAGTTGGGAGGTAAGATTCACCACAGCTGTCGAGGGGCCAGCTTTTATAAACGTGAGAGAATTTTCCGAACTAAAACCTCTTTATGCAGCTATCATATCACAAGTCAGCGGCCAGCTACAAAAGAAATCAGACTGAGGGAATTTAGCAGGGCGCTTAACCTTAACAAATCAGATGCGCGCGCAGGTCTGAGGCCGCTGCTATTATGCAAGGCTCAACTGCCCAAGGATGACTTGCCTGGCAGACTCCATCCAATCAAACTATACTGACATGGCAGCAAGCTTTTTACGAGCCACGTTTTAGCGCTTTTGTAGCCAATAGGTGTCCATTCTTATAAAGTGCTAAAGGCTGAGAGTGAGGAGGTGACCACTACTGCATTAGCGTGATCCTGTTACAAAGGCGTCTGAGCTGAAGCCGCCCAAACGTGACAAGGTACGAGCGGCTGTACGGCTGATGCTCCTGATTCGTTCGCACTGCGAGGCAGTAGGTCAATATGGCAGGACGGTGCAGCCTCACAAAAGCCTCGAGTTACCAATTACACACGACACTGATGAAAAGCGTTCCCTCTCAGCTTGAGGTACTTCTGCGAACCTGCATAAATCGAAGGAGCAGCAAACTTCTGTGGTCTTGTTCATCCAAGCAACGGAGATACGAGGGAGAGATCACGTAACATCGCAATAAGGGTGATGTCTTGCTTTTAACCAGCGTTAGCCTTCATAATATTGTGAAGAACTGCAGGCCAACAATTTTGAGGTACGTCCTCAAGTCGACGTAACTGGTAAGTTAATTGGCTGTCTTCCAAGCCGAGCATTTCAGGGGCTTGCTCAAATTTTTCTTTTCCCTCTTCTTTCCTCACTCTTTTGTATGTGCTCACTTTCTTCCCCACTTCGTTCCACAATCCATCTCGCACACACTTGCCCAGAAGTTTTCCGGTGCAACTTCAAGCGATGGCTGGCTGCATCATGTTGTTGTCATCCTTTTGTGTGCCATTACGCATCTCCTTTGCGTATTCATGAATGTCTTTGCCATCGGCAGGCTGCTTGCGAAGACCCTTCTTCTTCTTCTTTTTAGCAGTAGCTGTATCATCCTCGACAGCATTGGTATCTTTGTTGGATTGGGTGTTGTCGTCATTGTGACCGTTGTTGTTGTGACCACCTCGGCCACCTCGGTTTCCTCCAA